TTCTTTTCTTCTGCATAAAAGTTCGTTGTACCAGCAATTCGTTGATATTATTATTACACATAATGTTTTAGTCATATTTATATCTAAATCATATAGATTACCTTTTAATTTTCGTTATGTAAATAGTAATTTTCCTTTCCTTTACCAGTAAATTGTAAATATCTACTTGACAGTCTGGGCCATGGACTGGACTAGTCCATAAGGACTATTTCCATGGTCCTCGCCGGAATTACTACTATTGTATTTTGTTTATGAGTTCTGTTATAATGGTCATTCTGGTGAAATAAAATAAATAAATAAAAAGATAGAGACAACGTCGCGTAGACCTCGTCCCTTTTTACAAATAGATGAAATCATTTCAGCGAATAAAATTGTGTTTATCGCAAAACAATTCAAGAGACAGCCAGTTTGGTGCTACTAGTTATACGCGTGATTTGATTACTTTCACAATTGTACCATTTCAAACTGCGCATGCACACACACATGATCACTTAAAACACTGAAAACATTATGCGAATTTTGAGCTATAGTATTGGATCAAACTATCAACGAGCCTTACTTGTAAATTTGCTAAGAAAAAGAATCTGTTCAAAAACGTGTATCAAAAAAGGATTTTTACACCAGCTTTTCGATTATTTTTCACCTCTTATCGGTATAATCATCCAATTTAGAACTATCATGTGGGCTATCGGAAAGCATTTTGGAAGTTGTTTCTGAGAGGTTTTTCATTGTTCATAAATATCCATTTATGAAAAAGAGGAAACAAAACATTGGCATTCCAACGTGCTGGCAGTTTTATTTCCTTGCACGTATAAATCAGATTTTCTTCAAACACTTAATATAAAAAAAATAATTGACACAAATAAAATCATTAAAAAATAAAAATCTTTATTCACTCAATAATAATTTACATCACATAAATTATTATTTTGGAATTATAGATCTTTCCACTTGAGCTAGGGGATAGCTCAAATTTGTTAGAGGGGAAATGCCAGTGTCAGTGCAAGTGTGAAAGGTGTAATTTAAATGTGTTACAAAATAGTACAGTGTCGAGTCTGGTGGCAGAAGAGAGTCAAAACACTATATTTGGTAACTTCACTGCTAAGTGGAAACTGCAGCGAAAAATAGGACATCAAGCCATTAGGTGAGTTTATAAGATTTGTATCCTCCATTGTTTGCATCGACATAGATTGAAACTTTGAGATCACGACTAGTAGTGTAATAAATCATCCTCGACTTAAACCGCAAATTAATATTTCTCAAAACAATGTGTATTTACTGAATAGTGTTGTTTCATTGAACAATGTAATTACTTGTTTGCTGTAGGAATGGTGTTTTGGGTTATAGTAAATCATAAGCTAATTTATCTGTAAAAGCGAAGTATTTACGACCATGTTGCATCTTTCATTGAAACACCACAGAACTGAAACAGCATACGATGTACATGCCTATGTGAGACTTTCAGTATTTCCCTCCTGTAGTACTAAATATTCATACTTGACCTTTGACTTATATGTATTTGAAATGAAACAGGATCTATAATATTAATTAATCACTAGAAACTATTGATTTGGCATATTTCTTGAACGCATTCAAAAAATAATTATTTTACGATGCATTCTATGGTTGAAGGAAAAAATCATCATAATGTGTAGACCTCACCACTCCACACTAAACAAAAGAAATGAACTCGTATCAACGTGCCGACACAGATCAAAAGCCTTATTATGTAACACTTAAACATGTTTTTATTTTTAATTAACTTTTTAATTAATATGTTAATTTGCGAAGTTTATAATGTATGCTCGTTGGTGCAGTGAATTATTAGTGAGGTAATTGTACCTTACATAACAGTCGAGTTTCAAAACTCATGTAGTTGTGTATTAATTCCTCTATTACCATATATATATATATATATATATACTCACATTATGTTTTGTGTATGCACATTTTGCAAACCGTATATATCAGAAATATATTTCGCTCTGACGTAGGTAGCGTCACCTCTTACAAAGGGGCACGAGTGAGTTGTTGACCGCCTAAAAGAACAAATAGTATTTGACTTCGATTTGTGTTTGATTTTAAAATGTATATTTAGTAGTTTTAAAATTGAATTCATTTTCTCTATGCATATATACATCCAACCCTACTTATAAATATCATAATCTATTGTTGTTCTTGACCATATAGTCCAGTACGCCCCTTTCACTACAATAATCTCGTGTATGCAGGCCTCACTATGCTATTGAATTGAAGTTGATACTTTTGTTTGAATTATTTGTATAATATATGAATATATTTACCATACAAGTATGGCAGCACATTGTAAATAACAATTCAAACGCACTCAACTGCAATGAACTATACAATATCAGAAAGGTTATTTGAAGGTAACTGGTCACTGTGCAGTTCATTGTCGAGTTGTACAGCTTGTGTAAAACGGTTCTCTATTTAATTTTAGCATCATTAATCTTTTCAAGGGTAAGTAAAATACGCACTGGTCTCTGTGGATGACTTGATCTCATGTGGGAATAGGCTAAGATATTTTGTGTTGTGGCGCATTGTTAATAAGTGTCACCTTGACTAGTAATGGCAGTATTATATAGCTTGTCATACATGAAGATTTAGTGACTCGAATCTGAACCTGGGGCATTTCAATTAAATTTAAATTTCATGCTGCAACACAATAAGACTATTACAATATGTGCTTTTCAAACAGATAGTATAGTCCCGTGTGAACTCCCGGTAAACCCATCGACAAATCTACATGGTCAATCTGTATACCATTATACATGACGCTCAACATGTGTCACGAATAGGATTTGCTTTTGATGTCTTCGTTTTTGAAACGAGTTATTATTTTCCAAATGTGTGCACGCATTTAGGGGCGTTTTTCTAATGCCATGTTTGAGCGTGGGTACCTACATGCTCTAATTCGACAGCTCCCTCCTCCCCGGTGTGGACTGTAAGGGCTCACTGTCAAACAAGGTGAAGTATAACGGGGAAATTATTCTGGTCTGGGTCTCGGGGTTTCTCTAATACGTGTCAGGGGGAATCTCGTCTGTCTCTATTTCTCGTCTACTTGAGGTTCCGGACAGGGAAAGTCACTTAAGCTTTACATTCAAATAGACACACACAACGAAATATGTATCAACTCTCGTCTTTAGTCAGTCAGTCGAGTACTCTATAAGACACAGCGCCCTGGGAAAAAGTCCCCAAGACAAGGCTGACCCAAGACTGCGTCTCTCGTGGTGTTCTCGCCAAGACCAACTAAAACTCCTTTATTCATTTTCAAAGCCTTAACCAATTACAAAAAAGTATAAAGTCTATAAGACGTGGCCTCCACACATTCAACTTGCACATAGCCAATCAAACTAAGTACTGGATACGTCATATCTTTTGATTAATCGTTCACTATATTCCTAACTGCGAATACCCAACTGTCAGAAATAGCGGTCCGGATGGCAACGGTTATATCGTAACTAGTTCCAAATCACTTAGTCAAGTTCCCTCCAGGACCTCGCATGAGCCTAAATGATGACAGATATAACACAGCCATTCACTTGTAACTCGCTAAATAAATCAGACAACAGATACGCGAAAACTAATTTATGACAGAAGCACCGAAGTCGACACTGCGCTATGAGGCTCGCTGAAACTGCTTGTCTGTCACTGTAACAGTGAATATTTGTATTAATATACTAAATAACGATTGTGACATTCAATCGTAAATAGGAATAGTAAATAATAAACTTGTAATGTGTTTTATCATTAACACCTTTGTACCTCAATGTGTTTTAAAATACTCATTTAAATGCAGGTTAAACTCGACGTGAACAGTTAAATACGACGAGCACTTCACTGTACAGTGAGTGACCTATTCCAGACCTTCGCATCAGAAAACTCAGTGCACACGGTCAGCTTGATTTTATGGTGATATCAACATCACTGTATTTCAACAATTACAATATACATGATATTTAGATGCACTGTCAAACACAGCAGTGCTTTACAGCGGCAAGATTGACGACATTTTTAACGGTGGACTGTTTGAAACTCAGGGTGCGGAGATGGCAGAAAATCTGTTTTTCCTTTATTTAGTTCTGTTGTCTGTGTCTGTTTTTCAATTCTATCGCCTCCCCTGGAATTCTTATTGACCAATCCCTCAGAGGGACGAATTGTTCATTGCTCAAATTTCCCTAAAGCGCAATCATGGTATGGTGCATAGGCGAACTCGCGGCGACCTTGATTAAAAGAATGTTTTCTCTCAAATAGTCTAGCCCTTTAGTAAAAGTAAGCATTGTAAACTAGTCATCCCATAAACATTGTCGATTACCGTGTTCACATTAACAAGTTATAGTCGTAAATATTGGGCTAAAATGTGTTCATTCTTGGGATCATCTGCGAGTTGGATAGGTTCAACCAACGTACAGTATTTTCCGACAGAGTAATACAGTAAACCAAATAGTCTCAGCAGTGGAACGTTTGGCCATGGTTTCGTTCATTTTCAAGATGCAGCAATCTAATACCAAATAGTTTACATAATGGTTTAGCCTATGTGCAAAAAATATGGATGTGAACCATTGATGTGTGCATAATAATAGTGTTTGATATGGTGAAGAGCATACTCCTCGATCTATTGACTGGAAGGTTAGTGCCCAATATACTGACTGGAGAGGAAGTTCTCAATAAGGAAAATGTAGACCTTATGATAGTGACAGTGGAGAAAGTAATAACTATAGTTACTAGTTATAGTTCCTAAATATAGTGAAAAATGAGGGAGTTGTCAATAGAACGACAAGAGAGGTATAGAGGTGTTGTTACTTGTATCAACGGTAAACATAGCGTTACCTTCACCATTTTTGTTTAATGAAGATCGACAGACTGAATTTAGTTTATTTTTTTATAGAATTGTTATAAATGTTACATTCATCCTCTATTATAATACATTATAATCTAATATAAATTATTATATACTGTAATATTTATTATTGTTTTTTCAGATTTAAATCAGAATCATGATTACTTATATACTGAATCATGTCTTTGATATTCTTAACACTCCAACTAATGTTATTTTACTGTTGTTGGTGTTTATCATAACATATGGATTGTTCAGTTTACGTAAACCATCTGGGTTTCCACCTGGACCAATGGGATATCTATTTATTGACACAATGATGGGTAAGTGTATTGCATGCAACCTTATCACCCCCGGGCTGTCATCCGACATTTTATTTTCACATATGATATGATGTGTTACGGGTTTTTATCATGCAGTGACGTCACCAGTTGAAAGGTCAATAGAATATGTATACATCCATACGTACATGTATATAAAATCGGAAACAACGCTTCAGTGCTACTTACTGACAGCAGTTGTTTAATTTTATGACAAATATATATACAAAGGGCAATCGGCTTTAACTATCTTTATTAGAGTTGATGAAGGAACCCCACCTAACGCTGACGAAATATGGTAAGAAATATGGAGATGTATTTGCCATTAGAATTGGCAGTCAGCCTGTGATTGTACTCAACTCCATAGATGTTATTAAAGAAGCATTGGTGAAGAAACAGAATGATTTTGCTGGGAGACCATATTTTTATTCATGTAAGTCAGTGAACTTAAATGCTTTAATATGTTGCATTATATCATCAAGGCAAGTCAATGTCATAATCTTTTTCATTGATTTTTAAATATGGGTCATTGGACTTTTAATTTGTGTGACTCTAAATGCTTTTGCGTGAAGATCAATGGATTCACTCAAATTCTATGATAATGATATAATGTCTATGCTAGTGCAAAATCGCAAGTACAAAAAGGCTATTCAGATTTTTTTATTTGTTGAAGGTCAGTCTTTTCATACATGTCAGTTTCCGTGGACAAGCGAAGTCTTAAATAACTCCTTTCCCCGCACAATTCAGAATGCTCGTGCTTATTCCTCGACCCCAAAATGCACTTTTTCTTACACTGTTTCCGGTATATATGTAAGTTCATTTTTACTTTCCCGAACAATATGAATTTGAATATATTAGACTAGACAGACTAGACAGACTCTCCTTAAATAAATTAGTCGACAGTGTTGGTTGAGGTTTCAATCATGTGAGTGCTCATGTGAGACACTCGCAAATGTGATACCGTTTTGCGTTTTTCTACGTCTAAGCACGTAACAGCATAAACGATCAGATCGATATCTGCCTAATAATCCACATTTACAATTGTGAAATAAACCAAACTAAACCCTCCGATTATAAAGTCAATTATAAAAATCAACATGTATTGGCGGAGGTTTCGTTATACCATATTTGCAGGCAAAACTTTACAGCCAAAACAAAGTCAGCTTGGACATTCAGTTGTGAGACATGACAAGATAAACAGTGCCAGCGATAGATTTCGCGAATGAAAGAACAAAATAAACGCAATCAAAGGCGCCGACCACGCGTGTTGCAAATAAATAGAACGCGTTGTGACAAGAAATCTCACCTGCATCTTTCACTCACGCAAACGCACACACATGCTATTTCCGTATATTGAATACGTTGGCAACGGAAGGGACAAGTTTAAATCATCTTTGTTAACACAACTTGAAAGCAACAGTCTCACACTGAATATATGTTTATCAATTATCAAACTAAATTCAATGAAGCTGACTGCGACGGTTGAAACGAAAAGACAAGGCTAAGACGAAAAAATGTGTCAGTACGATTATGCTCGTCTACTACACGCCCGGGAACTACACGTTCAAGTATCCAACTTCCCAATACAAAACATGATTAGTATCAGCAATAAGTTCTAGTACTGCCTGGATAATTGCGTATTTTCAGTTGACATCAGACATAACCCTGTACAGAATTGTTTTAACAATGTCTCAAATTTCCGAAAGAATATTCAAATAAGTTGGGATGAATATGAATTAAATATCCACCTTTTGAAAAATCAGCTAAACAGTTTACCACCACGATTGTGGAGAATTGGCGAGTTATCAACGAAGACGACCGCACGTCTCCGGTCATGAGCTGGCTAGTTCGAATTTATCCACTTTTACAGTGATGAATATTGCGTTCGAGTTGAGTTACTAGTAATTGCAAGCCTGATGTACATTTTTCTTGTGGTATTTTCCGTCAATGTATTAAATATACATGCGTTGGGAAATAGCGTAATTATATTGCTTGAGTGAAAGACGCTGGTAAGTACGGAAGAGTATTAGTGCCATACTCTTAACAAAATAATAAAAAAATCTCGTTATAACGAGTTTATTTTTCTCGTTATAACGAGTTTTTTCTCGTTATAACGAGTTCATTTCTCGTTATAATGAGATTTTTCTTGTAACGAGTTTATTTTTCTCGTTATAACGAGTTTTTTTCTCGTTATAATGAGATTTTTCTCGTTATAACGAGTTTATTTTTCTCGTTATAACGAGTTTTTTCTCGTTATGACGAGTTTATTTCTCGTTATAACGAGTTTTTTCTCGTTATAACGAGTTTATTTTTCTCGTTATAACGAGTTTATTTTTCTCGTTATAACGAGTTTATTTTATAGTTGTCCCAGCTGGTGTCATATGCTGTGCAATGGCGGATAGAGATGAACTCATTACATTTTACTTCCGCCTTGGTCTCAACTACAACGAAATATTGGTCAACCTAGCTCACAGGTGATGAAC